CTCAATCCCTGTGAGTGTCAAAGAGCTTCAGGGGTGGGGAGGGACAATCTGTAGAGTCGGAGCTCCCTAATTCATCTTGAGAAGGATGCCCATGCCTTACCACTTCCGATTGGCTTGGTTTCCACAAGGTCACTGCCCTGGATTCATCTTTGTCCTTGTTTGGGGGGTGAAGGTACAGGTGGGGAATAGGCTCTGGGAACCTACCTCATGGCTATAAACTCAGCAACATGACAGGACCAGGGTCTCAGAGCCAGGGTCCTGACAGCAACTGGACCTGCAGTGTCGTCGTTGTGTGTGACCTTGGACAAGTCACAGCACTCTCTGAGCCTCTCTGCCTCCACCTCTAGCAGAGAAGAATTGGGTTAGGGTCTCTGTCGTTTGAGTTGCCTTTGTTCCCTGTGCGGAAGATGGGGAGAACCAGAAGGGCTAGCTTGTGTTTCCACTGAAGGCTCATGAAGGACCCTGCCTCCCAGACTCCACCTGCTGCCATATCCAGCTAGGCCTGGGCTCTGGTTCTGACCTGATACCATGTAGAGGTTGTGGTACCAAGTTCCTGAGTGTCCATGGCCCAGGACTAGCGTATGCTCATGGCTGTCTGTGCTCCTGCTCTCCCAGTGACAGAATTCCATCGGATCATGCAATTGTCCTCAAACTTCTTGCCCCTCCAGCCCCTGGGGACAGCTGGAAAATAGCCTAGATCGTGAGTGGGCCCTGGCTCCAGGCCCCACTGCGGATCCGTGCTAGGCAGGTCACGTCCCCTCTCTGGATTTCAGTTTCTTCGTTGGCAAAATGAAAGGCAGAGGGGTCAAGTGGAAGAACTGCTCATTCTTTAATTCAGCTGCTTCTTCTCTCCAGCCCCTGCTCTGGGCTACCTGCTAAGCTAGGGCAGGATGAACTGAGACACAATGTTTTCAGTTGCAAAGTGGCCCCGAGGGGCCCCAAGCATCCCTAGAGCTGGAGCAATCAGGGGTGACTTCCTGGGGGAGGTGGCACCTAGGTCTTGAAAGACAAGAAGCTGTAGAAATTGCAGGTGACTGGCTTAGATGTTCATTATCCTGCTTATTATTTACCAGACCCGTGAATTGAAATAAGGATTTATTGTCTACACCTAAAAATTCCCTTCTGTTATCCTCACCCTCTGAGCAGGATGTTCACCCATCATCTTTCCTGGCGTGGTTTTTGTCTGCCAAGGTGTATGATTCCTGAGCTGAAACATGCTCTCCAGCTTGGTTTCTGGTGGCGCTTCTCAGGGAACAAATGGGACATTTTCTGTGCCTGGGTGGTGGCGACTCCCCGGGCCATATGAGTCAGGGTTGATGCTGAGGGCAGCTCTCCGCAGAGTTTCCATGCAGACCTGCCCTCCTTCTCCACCTCATGCTGTGCTGTGACTCCCCTGTGCCTTTCTGGGGATCTAGGGAACACTCCTTCCTGAGCACCACCCACCCGCAATCTCCAGTCTTCTGGGACAGCCAGCCCTCATGGAGTACATCCTGTCCCAGCCCACATTGTCCTGGGCCATAACAGCAAGCAGTTACCTCACATCCCCAGGGTCACTCAGTTCCGTATTGTTACTGTGCCTTGTGCCAGGATGGTGGGATTCCTGCTCCCACACTTCAGTGGGACAAACTGAGTCTCAGAGAGGCATGGTATCTCAGATATGGACAAGGAAGTCCAAAATGAGTAAAGAGTCCATCCTGCCCCCAGGGACAAGCCTCTGCAGGGCAGAGGTGGTATCCATGGTCAAGATAACTTAATGTGTGTTCTACTTCCTCATCCCTAACATGCCCGGGCTAGGAATACAGCCCAGTACAGCGTGCATGGTCTCTGGGTTCCATTCTCTGCACTGTGGAAGAGAGAGGAGGGAAAACTGTGACCAGCTGCCCAGGCTGGAGGGCATAAGGAAGGCAGGTATGGAAACGATCAGCGAGTCCATCATGACCCGGATCATGCTATTGAGTGCCCTCTGTGATAGCTGCTGCCTCACTCAGCTCCCAGGCACAGTGAGATAGGTGCCCGTGGATGTAAAAGCACCTCCCCACCCAGGCTGGACAGAGTGGTGGTCAGGGGTCTGTGGGTGGAGAGCAGTGGCAGAGCATGTACAAGGCCCATCCCCAGCAAATAGGAATGAAGGAAGGGGGCCCCTCCACTGAGGTGTAGGACGCACTTGGGAGATTGCCCCATCTGGTAGGCTTACTAAATTCCTCTCTGTCCTCAGTCTCAGCCTGACTATCTTCCAGGCACTCTCAACTCTTCAGATAGTCCCCTGAAGCCCCTAAGGCGAGAAAGCAGCCTTCAGAGAAACTGGGGAAGTGGTGGTCTTGGGAAGCCATGCAAGTTCTAGGCCTGGCTTACTGGCTGTGAAGTGGTCAGATGTAGAACTCATGGTAAGGAGAACAAAATATAAAGAAGGATGCAGTGGGGCCCAAAATCTCTAGGGGTGATGATGTCAGCCCCCAACAGAGTCCTAGCCTCTGGTACCTAATAATGGCAACCTCTGTCTGTCTGACCAGCTTTTGGGCACAAAGTGCTTCCTGTGCTCTCTATAGCAGGTAGCTGCCCTGACTGGCATCTGCTACAGAACATGCCTGTAAGGTGCATTTAACGAAATCCCTGTACTCCCAGTTAGTGACAAGTGTCCATGGTGCAAAGTAAGCCTAGGACCAGAGCATCTGTGGCTGAGCTAAGGGCCTAAAGTAGGAAAGTCAATCCTGGTGGGCAATCTGAACAATACAGATTCTTAGCTATGGATAGAAACCTGGGGACCACAAGAGACACAAAGTGCTGACGAGAAGGCTGGGAGGAGACTCAGTAAGGGAGAGAAAGCTGCTGTGGCAATTGACATCTTTTTTTTTCTTGGGCAGTGTGGGTACCAGAGGCAGGCCTGGGGCAAAGGGGAGAGGGGGGATGCTGAATAGAGGGATGGATGGGAGGGTGATAGATAGGTAGATGGAAGATGGGTAAATGGATGGATGGAGGATGGGGAGATGGATTAATAGATGATGGGTAGATGAAGGATAGTATGTAGATGGACTGATGGAGAGTGGGTAAGTGGATGAATAGGGGCTGGATGGGGGAAAGGTGAATGGATGGTTGGTAGATGGAGGATGGAAGGATGATGGGTAGATGGAGGATGGGAGGATGATGGGTAGGTAGATGGATAATGCCTGAATGAAGGGATGATGAATTAGTAGATGGAGGATAAATTGGTGGGAAGATGATGGATGGATGAATGGACAGTAGAAGGAACGAAAAGGAAGAAAAAGGAGAGGTAGATAAAGGGGTGGACAAAAAAGAGGAAATCAACAGATGAAGAGCACATTGTGTGGTGATAAATAGGGAGGGAGAGAGGGAGCAGGAGATGATTTGGCTGTGTTAGCCAAGAACCCACAGGGGGCACACTGGAGAGACAGGTGCCCAAGTAGGCGATAGAGAAGTGTAAACAGGCGTTGTCTCTACCCAACAAGGTGCTGAGAAAGCTCAGCTACAGAGCGTTCCCAGCGAGCCCTGTGTATGCTGCAGAGAGTCAGAGAATGAGGCGGCTCTGAGAAGAGCCAATGAGCTCTGTCTCCGAGTTTCCTTAGGTCAGGGGCTCCAATGCATGGGTAGCCAGCCTCCTCCCACTGGTGTTCAGTAGAGGCTGACCAGGCCTCCTTTATTGTTGCTGTTGTTTTTGTTTGTTTGTTTTTTGTCTTTTGAGACAGAGTTTTTCTGTGAAACAGTCCTGGCTGTCCTGGAACTAGCTCTGTGGACCAGGCTGGCCGTGAACTCACAGAGATCTGCCTGCTTCTGCCTTCCAAGTGCTGAGATTAAAGACGGGAGCCACCACCTTTCTGCTCTATGCAGGACTTCTTAAGAGCTCTGATGTCATGCAGGGCCTGTAAGGATGGTTTATGAAGTTTCCTGTGGTGAAAAGACAGAGGTTTTTGTTTCGTTTGTTAGTTTTGTTCTGATTGGTTTGTTTTAGGGTTTTGCTTTGCTTTTATTTTTTGTGGTCTTTTTTTTTTCTCTTGCTTCCAGAACCCCACAGGGAATGGACAGTCTGCAGCTATGGGATCTCTGCTGTGGGAATCAGGCTGGAATGAAGGCAGGACAGTGATGTGCGTATGCCAAAGTCAGAGCCCAGGGACAGCAAGGCAGAGCAGTGTCTGTGTCTAGGTGGCTCTGCCCTGAGCCTCCGGAGGCTCAGTGCTCTGGTGCCCACTAGATGGAACAGTTATTTCCAGGTCCTGGGCGCCCTGCCCTCTGGGGTCTTCCTGGGGGCTGTGGATAGAAAGAAGCCCTCCAGTGGGCGGTAACCTGTGAGTCACCGTCCCTAGGGGCCCTTGCCTGGGAAGCCCCAGCTGCCAGCCCTAGGCCTGGCCCTGAGCAGCTGTCAGGTGGGTGGGGCTCCATCTGGGCCCCAGTCTGGAAAGGCCCCAGGGGCCCAGACCCCCATGGTCCACTGCCTGGAAGGGCCCAGCCTCACCCCTGGCTCTATAGAAGGTTGGTTGACATTCAGAATCCAGCGTCAGTCACTTAGGCTCAGTTTCCTTCCCAAGCCTGTGACCTGTGTGCCTTAGTTTCTGTGTATGGTTGAGAAAGCCATTGAAACCCACTTTGCGGGCCATGGAGAAAAGTGCGTGCTTTTGCTCATACCTATTGGGAATTCCTCCTTGTACCCCAGACTCCTAGAGCTCATGGAGTTCAGGGGAACATGGCAGAAAGGAGAAGACACAGCCAGTGACACGTAACAGAGTGTGGCTTGGCTACGACTGGGAAACTCTCGGCCCAGTGGAGTCCCTGGGTGCAAGCTGCTGTCCTAAGGCACAGTCCCAGCCAGTTTGGTCTTCTTTTCCTCTCTATCCAGGCTTCTTCCGGAACCAGCAGCAGAGCAGACCCTTCTCAGTCCTGCGGGCAGGGCTGTAGCCACGGGGCGGTGTTGGGTTTAGGCCTCTGGGGACTGGTGGAGGATGTGGGCCCGCCCTCGTCTCCACAGCCTCCCTCCCTCAGTATTGCCTCTCCAGTCCCACCCTGTCCTCTGGACTCACAGGGCTCTGGGCTCCCAGAGCCCCCACTTTCCCTCACAGTGGACGCCCCCTCTGTCCCGCCCCAGTGACTCACTGCTCCCCTGGCCCTCTGCCATTCCTGTCTCTTGGCAGGCGGCAGGCGCAAGGTTGTGCTGAAGCCACGGGGTGTGGAGTGTGAGGGACGCTCAGTCGCCAGGGTCTGGAGCTCCGGTCCTCCAGCAGCGGCAGTGGCCAGCCAGGGATAGCGCCGCCAGGAACCTGCAGTGGCCTGGGGGAGTCAGGGCCTTGCCCTCTCCCTGTCTTTGGACTTTTTGTTTTTCATCATCATGAAGAAGGAAGTGACCTGAGAGAGCCCAAGACAAGAGCCATCCCCTGACTGGGAGGAGAACCAGGGTCCAGGGCAGTGGCAAGACCCTCCAGCCACTGAACCTCGCTAATCCAGGCATGAAGGGTGATGGTGGTGCTGTGTGGGGCCTTATGTGGAAATACTGCATCTCCGTGAGGACCCTCAGGTACAAGGGACGGGGTGTGGAGGCGGCTTTGCCCTAGTGGGCCAGGTGAGGGACCTGTGTGGGGTTTGGAGGTCTGGGAGGTAGCAGGGATGGAATACAGGAAAGGCTGAACTTTGTACCCTCCAGAGAAATGTGAAGTCTAGTGGCAAGGAGGGAGGCAGGAAGGAGAGCGGACCAACTATCAGGGCTTGCACTGGCTGCTGCCCCCTGGGGAAGGCCACTGGAGGTACAATGAATAGGAGGCACTTGTTGCATAAGATACCACTAGCTTTGAAGTGGGACTTGGGTACCCCCTCCACCCCACAGGCCTGTTATGCCTAGGTCAACAGTATCATACTCTCTCCTTCTGTGTGTAGTGGGGTGACAGTTTCTCTACCCTCCACATCAGTCCTCTCATGGCAGGGAGTAATGTCCAGGAACAGGTGCCAGGCTGGCCCCCTCAGACCTGTGTGTGCACTGACCCAGTCTCTGCAGTGAATCGTCCTCTCCGAAGAGGCTTTTAGGATTCATGTGAGGGTTAAATGTGACCCAGCCCCGAGTGCCAGCAGACACCAGCTAGTGTCGAGTGTGTAATTACCACAGCCACTGTTAGATCTGTCACCCTACCTCCTCAGAGGTCTATGGGAGGTACCTGGAAGGTGCTCATTTAGAAAGAGTGGAAGAAGGTTGAGCAGGACTTTAAGAACCCTTGGAAAGACAGACCACCCAGGGACAGGGTTCACCTGGGCATGGGACTGAGGGGCAGGGGTGAATATCTGGGCTTAACTCTACCTTCTGCCACATCTGATAGGACTTGTCTGGAGCCACAGGATCTTAGGCAAGGCTGGGTTTTCACCTCTGAAACTGGGACCTTAGGGTGTGTAACTTGCATGTAAGAGGACCTAGAAGCGCCACCCAGTGGGGATATACCTTGTGTTTTGAATTCCTCCTACTAGTGTGCATTTTACTTAAAGAGAATGTTTCCTAAAGAATATAGTAGCAAAGAGTCCTTTCTCTTTCCAGGCTCTGGTATATCTGGTATATCAACCTCACAAAATCCCCTTCCTTTGCCTATATTCTCTCCCCTTCTCCTTCTTCCCCTCATTTCCCTATTCCCTTTTTCCTATTTCCTCTTCCCTTCTTTTCTACCCTCCTGCCTTCCTCTTTCCTTCACAAAATATTTGTGCTATCATATAAGAAATACTAGTAGCAAAAAAAAGTATAATTCAGAATAAGATGTTGTATCAATGATAGCAGTGATGAGGAACGAAACAGAGGTATTCAGGAACCTGGGGTGCTGCTGAGGTAAAACCTGCTGAGCTGCTCAGAAGCCCAGGGGAAAGGGGAAATGCAACTGCCCAGTTCACGCCCACTTTAATATGAAGCACATGTACAGTAGCCACAGTTGCTCTGCTACAAGGCAAGCCTGTCTAGAGCCCTGGATGGCAGGCCTTGGGCCCAGACAGATTTATAGTTTCCAGGCCAACAGTGAGAGAGAGGCATTCTGCTTAGAGAAGGATGCCAACTGGTTGTGAGAACCAAAACGCAAAGCAAAATCCAGCCCTGGAGTGAGTCACTGGGCCACCTTCTACTTTAGTCCATGATGGACCTCCTTGGGTGGATAGTTCAGAAGCCAGGCCAGGCAGGACTGAGGCAGGGCCCCATAAAAGTGCCTGATGTTTTGGTCTCACAAACTGCAATAGGTTTTCCTGCCTCGGTCTTTCCTAAGGTCTCTAGGGTTGGCTCACTGGAGGACCCTCAGGAAGTGTTCAAGAATGTAGTGGGCCAGCATGGAGCACTTCTGAGTAGCTGTTGATACAAGTGGTTGTTCTGTGCCTCAGTTTCCTCACCCACAGAATGGGAACATTGTAGAACTTCCCATGGGAAGATGGTAAGTGCTTGTGGCCACTGGTAGTTTGTCCTGATAGGTGGGTTACTTTCCCTTTGGTGATGAAAGAGTAACTTGGGGTGGGTGTGGCACTGTGATCAGCACTGAGTTTGCCCAGTCCTGTACGCAGCCCCCATAGGTACCATGTGTCCTGTACTCAACTAAGGAGGATGGCTCGAGGGTGGGCAGTTGTTCAGGAGGAGTGTATTCTTTCCAGATACCCGCCTCCCATCCCCAGAAAGCCGAGGCCACTCCTTAGAGCCAGATATAAGGAGAGCCAGCCCAAGCAGGCTCCAGGGCATTTTCAACCCCATACTAACTGCCAGGGGAGACCCAAATCCACAAATCTGTGGTGGGGCAGAGCTGGCAGCCGCTGGGGAACAAATTGGAGGGTTGTGATGGGACAGCACATACTTTTCCACTTGCGTCTTCAGATTCCCCTCTGTATGAGCCTGTCACCCCTGGCTGGGTCCCACTCACATCTGGAAAAGCATGAGGTGTACATAGAGCTCTTGCTGCTGCCGGCCCTGGCTCTATGCCAAGGGGATCCAAGGTTCCAAGACAAGGTCTCTGTGAGGGCCATGCCGGTTCTTACTGATTCCTAGTGCAGGGCCATCTGGGTCCAGTGCCCAGGCACTTGGAAGATGTATCTTTGTCTGTTGTGAACTTTGCAAGGCTGTCTCCACATCCAGACAGAGAGAGAGGCAAACTGAGCCAGTACTCCCAATTAGTGTGGACTCTGGTGAACAATGCCAGTGGAGCACAAAGGTATGACCGCCCCCCCCTTTTGTCTCCCCTCCTTTCCTTGGGTTTCAGTGGGGGCTGAGGCAGTGGGCAGAGAGGAAGAGGAGGGGCCCACTTACATTAGAAACTTGGCTTAGCCTTGTGGAAATCACTTTGGAGACTTTTGGAAAGCAGCGACAGGTTGCCTGCAAGCTGCCCCATCCCCAGGCCACCGTGAGGAGGAACCTGTAGCTGTCACTTATCAGCTGTTTTATTTTGTGTGTGTTGGGGGGGGTGTTGCTGTTGTTGTTGTTGTTTTGTTTTGATAACCATGCTCTCTGGTTGCTTTACCAATGAGCATCATCTGACGACATTGATGCTGTAAGTGGCCTTCAGCAAATGCTCAGCCAGTCTCTCCGTGGATTGCCTTTAGCTTATACCCCACCAGAGCTTGTCCCCATCAGGCTGTATTCCCAGCCTGTCCCCTGCAGGCCATATCCTCAGTGTCATAGTTAGCTTCAGCTATCACCTTGACATAAATCAGTAAATCAGGAGTCACCTGGGCAGAGGAAACCTCAACTGAAGAATTACCCAGATCAATTTGGCCTGTGCCCATGTCTGTGGAACATTTTCTTACTTGCTAATTGATATAGGAGGGCCCAGCCCACTGTGGTGGATGTCACCCTAGGAACGTGGGCCTGAGCTGTATTAGGAAGGTAGCTGAGCAAGCCAGTAGCAGTTCCAGCATGGTGTCTACTTTAGCTCTTGCCTCCAGGTTCCTGCATGGACTTCCCTCACTGTACTGACATGGAAGTGTAACCCAAATAAACGCTTTTGTGCCCCAAGTTGCTTTTGGTCAGGGTGTTTTATTACAGCAACAGAAGCAATTAGGACACTCAGCCTGTTCCCCAAAGACTTTATCTTTACCCTGTCTCCCATCAGACTGAATCCTCGGCCTGTCTCTATCAGGCTCAAGAATGGCTGTCACATATTGGCGTAGTTGGGCAAGAAAGATGAGTTTGTCCCTTGAGAGCCCAAGAGGCAGTCACATCTCCTAGGCCAGGATGCCCCTGGATGCACGGTGCTGAGTAGGGTGTGTTCAGAAGAGCAGACCCACCCTGAGCCTTGTAGGCCTTTCTCCCCTTCTGCTGCAGCTGCCTCTGGGCAGAAGGACTGGGAGCAGATGGCATCCAGGCCCTGAAAGCATCCCAGGAGCTTTCTGGACAAGCAGCCATCTGGTGCCCCCCATGGGAGGCCCTGAGTGTGCGCTTCCCATTCTGTGCTGTGCCTGTCTGGGCACCTATGACAAGGGAAGCCTCCTTCCTACTTGGAGCTTCCTCCTGCCTTGCTGTTCTGCCCCTTCCTTCTCCTTGCTGAGTGACTGACTGGCTCTGCACTATGGGTCCCCAACCTACCTGATACCCCATGCTGATGAGCCCACAGTAGCCAGGATTGCCCTGATTCCTCCCTTACTGGACGGAACTTAGGCAGTCCAGTGCTCTTGAGCTGGACTTGATCTGTGTGTGAGTCAGGCGAAAAGACTGGAGGCATAGCAGAGCCGCCACCTCCTTTCCTCGCTCTGGGTACTGCTCCCATGGTACTCTTCATTCCCACCTGGGCTCAGTCCTGCAGGTCACCCTGTTATGATGCTCCACTGTCCACTCCTCTACTGTGTCTTCAGTTTTGAGATAAAAATTTGCTGCATAACCTGTCCTGGCTTGGAACTCCCTGGATTGTAGGGCTGTGCTCCAAGCAAGGATCCAATGAATCTCAGTGCACAAATGCCAGCCCCTCTGGGCCACCATGGTGCCAGACTGTAACCTCATGAGAGATTTTCACATGCAGGAGTTAGTGTAGCTCTAAGAGGCTTGCTACCTTTTTCCTTTCTGTCCAAGGCCTTTCTTGGTGGGCCATACTTGACAGCAATTATTCTCAGAGAGCTCATGGGAGGAGGCCAGAAGCAGCCCCAGCTCATGGGGAAGCACCTTCTTTCCATCAGGATACAGAGAATTTGCTGAGTGCCTACTGTGTGCCAGCTCAGCAGTGAGCAAGGTGACCGACCCATCCAGGCCTCAAGGAGCAGACAGGTGACGATGTCATCAGATAGGGGTCACTAAGAAGGCAAAAGTGGAGGGGTGACAATGACAGACGAGCCAGCTAGAAAATCCTCTTAGAGCTTCTATCAGGATAAATGGACCCAAGATGTGGCAAGCCCATGCAGTAAAATGCTATCGGCCATTGAGGGAGTAAAAAATCTTAACCCCAGATACAGCCTGAAAGATGTACCAAATGAAAGAGGCCATCATGAAAGCCACATGCTAGCTGACTCCATTCATAGAAGTTTCCAAAACAGACGTGCCTACAGATACAGAAAATAGAGTTGGGGGCTGCCCTGGCCGTGGAGAGTCGTAGAAACAGGTATTGGTTTGTTTTGAAAGCAAAGACCAAGTTGAGCTTGAGCGTGGTGACAGGCATGGGCTCACTTTAGCTGGATGAATTGCATGGCACAGGAATTACCCCTGAATGAAATGGCTTCTACAAAATGAAATGGAAAATAGCAAAGTGGTCTGAGAAGGTACCCTTGAATGGAAGTTCATCAAGAGAATGAGTGGGAGAAGAGCCATGGGCAGAGGGAACAAGTGTAATGGCCCCGAGGCAGGAGCCACATGGCTTTGTGGGTGCAGGTGGCGCCTGCCTCCAGGCCACTACACTCACACTGCATTGCATTACATTACGTCTGTAGTTGGAGGCCAGGCTGTCAGGCGGGAGTGAGGAAGGAAGTGGGCAGGGCCTGCTCCTGAGGCGGACCTGTGTATGTTGGGGGTGGAGAGACAGGAGGTTTCTAGGCAGTCACTCCACTTCCATGAAGAAACCACTGCAGGTAGGAAGGGGCGTGGCAATAAGGAGATGAGGCTTTTATCTAGATAGGAGACCCTGTCACTCAAGGGAGACAGTGCAGGCTACAGATGACCACAGTGCAAATTCAGCCAGGGACAGCTGTATTGCCCCCAGGAGAATTGGGGTTGCAGTGTGAGGTGAAAGCTCCCTGGATGCAGGGCCTGGTTGTGGCCTCAAGGAGGTGGGCACAGACAGCTGAGGCAATGGAGAGGACTCTGCAGTGGTGGCCTTGTATGGGGCAGGGTCTCTGATTCATGGAGGCCTCAGAGAACCCTCCTGACCCCAGAAGATGAGGGCGACCACCCTGCCCTGCCTAAATGACACCCTTGGATCCCACTTAGTCCCGAACTGGTTTCAAAGTAAGTAGGGCATTTTCTTCAGGGTGGCCACCTTACTTAGCCTTTGTCGGGCAGGCTCAGACTGGCCTTCAATGGGACCATAGTACCCACGTGGCCAGAAACCCAGCTGGGGCTTGGCATTCTAAACAAAGCAGGCTGGCCGAAACTCAAGTGGCCCGAAACGCGATCGGTCACAGGAGGCTGGCCAGAGAGCAGCTGCATTATTTATTGTCTGTCCAGTGAGGCTGTTTGAACCAGCTAGGCCTTGAAGGAACCCTCTGGGAAGTATCTTGTACAGGGTGGGTGTGGGCCCCAGGGTGCTGGCCCTCTCACCTGGGGCGGGGCTTCCTGGATGCTGACTGAGCCGGGAGGAAGTTGGGCGTCAGGGCTGTCATGGGGAGGTCCCCTGGTAGGGAGAGCCTGAGGTCCTTCGTCCCCAGGGCCCAAGGAGGCAGGCCAGGCACTGGCTCCAGGGAGATCTCCATTCTTCTCCTGTGACACTGTGAGTACCACTTGCCTCGTCTGGGAGCCTGTGAGGGGCTGATGACTATCAGCAGTCTTATGGGGTCAAGCAGTTGGGACCTTGTGTGGGGACTCATGCTGTTTCTAGGAGCTGTTTTGAGTAACTGCTTTTCCCTGCCTGAGAGACACAGTCTGAGGGTCCTGGAACTCCAGGTGCCTCCCTCCAACTGCCAGATGGGAATCTCTTCAGGGACATTAGGCCAGCATGAGCCTGGGGCTGCCCAAGGCCCCTTGGCCTACCCAACTACAGGCATGTAATTTCTTCTGGTACCTCACAGCTACCTGAAAAAGGGGCCACACCTACTCCACAGCTGAATGAACGGAGTCCCTGAGACACAGTGGTTCAGGGCTCCTGGCTTGTGGCCTGAGGCACTTTCTGTCCCCACTGCCATCCTCCAGTGACTTTTCAGAGCATGAGGTTTGGAGGCTCAGGGCAGGAGTCTTAGCTAGGCCCAGTCTGGGGTTCTTGCCTATTAGGGGAAATAAGTGCTAGGAAGAACCTGCCTTGGGGCATTCCCACCCCACACCCTGGACGTTTCCTTCAGATGCCTTGTACCCCACCCCCATCAGGAGTCACCTGACCAATGACAGCTTACCTTGTTTCATTTCTTTATTTCTTTCTGAGCCAGTCCAGGATAGAACCTGAGGCCCTCTGATCCTGGGGCTGGGAGAGTCTTGGAAGACAGTCCCTGAGTAGGGAACTACTTCTCAGTGAAGGGTGCTGGGCTTATCCACATCCCTAGGGAAGTTCCCCTCCCAGCTCCCATCCATCCTCGTGACACCCCAGAAGGGAAGGCTTTCAATGCTGGTTATATGGAAAGCCAAATTCAGCTATGCGGGGACATCTGTCTGGTTTCATTCAGCTAGTGGGTATTCAGGAGGTGGACTGCAAACCTGGAGAGATTCTAGGCCATCTCTTCACTGCGCAGCCTTCTGCACAGGTGCCAGGGGAGGAGAGATGCTTCATCACTTCTCTGTTATTGGGTCTGTTTTTCCACATGCCAAGGGCTGGGCTCCCATCTGAAGGTTCCAGGCTGGGTGGAGGAAGCTGGACTGAGGGAGTAAGGATGTTGGTGCTGCTCTTTGTGCTTGGCCAGCAAGAACCTCCTAATAATCCAGGGGTGCTGAATGGTCAGATTCTTGCTTATAGCCTTTGTGGGACTCCAGGACCCAAGCTGGATACAGACTCTCATGCCCAAGTCCCTTGTCAATCCAACCCAAAGACCCGAGCACAGGTCAGAAAGGATGTGGCTAGGAGCTAGGACAACCAAGTATCCACAGGGACCTCAGGCACCTCTTCAGCCATCTGTGAGCTCGCCAGGTGGGACCAGGAGCCTTTCAGAACTTGGTGACTGCGACTCCAGGCAACGTTTCTTGCACATTATTCTTTAAATCATTAGATCACATGACAAGCATTTATCGGATACTTACTGAATGCTCAGGCACTCACTGTCTTGTCTATGGGACTACAAAGGTGTTAAGTTTGCTCTAACCAGTTGCTCTTCTAGCAGAGGGTCCTCAAACAGTGTGCTGGGTCTGAGAAGGCAGGTGGCACAGGGCAAGGGACGGTGGGATGGTAGGACTGATTTTATTTTGATGGATCCACGTTGCCTTTGAGGAAGCACCCTCTAGTCATTAGGCCGCTGAGGCTGACCGAGGGGTCCTTTATGACCTCTGCTTCACGGTCTCTCATGGGCCAGGCCGCTGTGAACAAACTGGGCCCCAAATTCAAGCCAGTGTGACTCCAGACATTGTGGGACAGAGGTAGCAGGATTGGCCAAGCAGAAGGTGAGTTCAGGCTGTGTCCAGCAAGTGGGGCATTGAGGTCAGTGCCAACTGGCACACAAAGTAGGGTGCTGGGCTGTGGTCAGGCTGCAGGTCAAGAGCCCAGACTCAGGGCGTCAACTCTGCTATTCTATTGGTTATTTGACCTTGTTACAAACCATATCGCTGGGCTGAAGCTTGCCACGAGGACCTTGTTACTTCTAAGTGAGAAAAGGCCCAATCCAGACAGGAAAGAGGCTTCAGTGGTCCTAGGAACTAAACGGTGAAGGAAGGGGTGATTGCTTTAGAAGAAGCAGAATTCAGGGGCTCAGCTCGTGGATTTGGTGTTTTACAAATTACTTACTGTGTTCACCCTAAGGCAGGCTATCTCCACGTAGGCATCCCTAGCATGTAGCAAGTGTTCAGAAAACCTTAGCCATCCCCTTCCATTCAGTGTCACCACCCCGTGACAAGCCAGCTGTGGTGAGTAACACACTTTTCTATCATAAGGTTGTTTGCTGTGCCCTGGGGGAGGTGGGACAAGAAAAGAGGAAATTGCCACAGCAGTCCGAGCTGAGGAAGGGGTGAGCTAGCAGGCCAGGGGAGGAGCGTCAGAGTTTTCCACAGGGGCTCCCCAGAGGTCTTCTGGGAGAGGTAACCACTGTGTTAGATTTTGATGCAGTGGGGGGACTTGGCCTGGGCACTGAGTTAGGAACCCTGCTTCATCAGCACCAGAGTTCGTATGGGACTATTGAACATGGGAGTGAAAGATGTTCACTCCCATGGGCCTGGGTGCTGCTTGGTGCTAGAGCACTGGCTTGGCAGGCAAAAGGCTGATGATCCTGTCCCCATCCTTGGGAGGAAAGAGAGGGCTCCAGCTGTGGCTGTGAGGAGAGAACAAGTGCCTAGTGGACATCTACTGTGCCCAGGGTTCTAATACCCTGTATGTTGCCTTCTTGCACTGTGTAGCCACTGCTGACATCTCCTCACCCCTTTGTAGAGAATGGGCAGCAGTTTCTGGATCCAGGGATTTGGTCAGGACTCATGGTTTGGATAGGTTCCTGACTGCTACCAGGTGGCTGCTGGAATGTCACCCATGAAGGTTACATACAGAGACGTCATCATACTCAGAACAGGACCGTGTTCTGGGATGTGTCGAAATAACTTTCCAGCAGGCTAACTGCGGAACCTTTGTCAACAACTTCAGTGACAGCAACCACAGTTGGTCTGAAACCAGGACCTGGAGACAACCGTGGTTGGCACCACCAGGCCTGGTGTGAAGGGTGAAATGACAAAGGACAGCCTCTTGTTTTTGAGCACAAGCGTATTTGAATCCTGTGTACTGACCGATTTCTAGTGTCTTCTCCCATCGGGGGTGGGAGGAGCTGATGGGAAGAACATGGGTGTGGTCCATGGCTGAGACCCACTTCACAGGGGCTGAGCAAGCCTGGGCAGCTTCCTGTACCCCTGGGAGCCTCAGTGTCCTCATCTGCGAAATGAGGTTAACTCTCCCAGAGTTAGGAGTATATAACACAGAGGAGTGTATCGGGGGCGATGCCATGAACATCTGGATTATTAAGTCTCAAGAAGCGACAGGGTGGCAGTTTGAACTAAAGTCTTTTTTTTAAAATTTTTTTATGGTTTATTTAACTTTTATTTTATGTGCATTGGTGTGAAGGTGTCAGATCCCCTGCAACTGGATCTTCATATAGTTGTGAGCTGCCGTGTGGGAGCTGGGAATTGAACCCGGGTCTTCTGGAAGAGCAGTCAGTACTCTTAACCACTGAGCCATCTCTCCAGACCCCTGACCTAAAGTCTTTAAATGTTGTCATTTTGCAGCCCTGATCTTCAGCTCCTCGTTAGGGCTCAGTATCCTGAGGATAGGCACCAGAGTAGCCTGTGTAGTGGTCAGGCCGAATGTTTGGCAAATGCTGACGTGAGAGCAGAGCTTCCAGTGTGTAAACTGGAGTTCCTGACAGTGAGACAAAGGGACCTGAGAGAAAAAAGAAAGTACCCAGTGCCCTTTGCCCTGAAGCTACGCCTCTTCCTGGGAAGTCAAGTTAGATGCTTAAGACACTTCAGGATACTGAGGAAGAAGTTCTGGAAGGTTCCAAGAGGAAGTGGCAATTGGAGACAGATTTGGTGGGAGCCAGGATAGGGTTGTGGACAGAACAGAGGAGCCAGGTCGCTCTCTGTATGTGGGAAACAACCGTCCCTCTGGAGACCCAAGGGCCTGAGGACCTAGGTTAAGGTGAGGCCTGGAGGTCCAGAATGCTGGCTTCTTCTAAGGGTCAACCAGCAATCAGTGTTCTTTCCATTGTGACTTAAGGGAAGCTCGGGACAGCTCTATTAGAGTTTAAGGGGAAAACAGTATAGGCAAGCTGGAAATCTCATTGGCCTCCAGGAGAAGGCGTGCTGGAGAGAGAGTCAGGCCTTTCGAGTTAGACAATGGAGGTCCGAGACACAGAAGCTCAGGATGGCTGGGAGAAGATGCTTAGGGATGCAGAGCTGTGGGTCTGAGTTTGTATCCCGCCAGTTTTTCTCTACAAGCTGCCTTTTTTTCCTAGGTTAATGTGATGTCTCATTTCAGGGCCCCTCTTCTGCCACAGTAGCGTTTCAAGCTTTTCAGCTTCACTCAATGTCTCCTTGAGGGCAAAAAATATTTTGTATCCAATCAGCAGTATCTGTAGAAAGAGGTTGTGTGAATGTTTGTGTGAACATTAGTCCTTGTGGCACTCTTGGAGGAAGATGCCAGGTGGAGGCTCCCAAGTTAGAGGGTGCAGCCGCACTGGGCTATGACACGGGGGCATTTCAGGGGGGGTTTCCCCAGGGGGAGCTGGTTCCGGAGAGGTGCTGTCCACCAGGTGCCAGGGCAGGGTGGAGCTAGTGAGATGGGGAAGCAGTTATTCCCTCACTTCCCCTTTCAGCCCTCTGTGGAAGGTGAGAGGCCTCCCACCTCACGTCCTGCCAGTGGTCACCCTGCCCACACCCCCGGTGCACAAGGGGAAACTGGGGCAGTGACCTCAGTGTGCTTCATTCTGTCACCACAAAGGGCAGTCTAGTGGTAGGGGTTCTATTGCTCTGTGGTCTTCTGTCCTACTGTGTGATCTAGAAAAAGTCACTGAGTCACTCTGGGCCTTAGTTTAGCATTTACAGAGCTGAGCTGTAGTTCTTCCCAGAGCAGAACAGAAAGCTCATGGCCTAGTACCTGATCTTTCAAGTGCTTAGTATTCCTCCTGAGTGGTGAACTCTAAGGGTCTCCCACTTAGAGTGGGAGACTACTGTAGGTCCTGAAGACTGGCCCCAGACTCCATTCTGCCCTGAGCAAGCTCGAAGGCCTTGGGCCAGTCATTCTGCTTCCCTGGACCTTGGCTAACTCATCCAGAAAATGGTTTAGTAAACATCTCAGCATAGGTAAGAAAGATTAACCAATGCCTGGCTCACATGGGTTTTCCCACCTGTCGAGCTGGGCACCTAAGCATCTTTTCCCTACCGCCACCTTTTCTGCCCCAGGAGCTGGACTGAGAGAGTTATCTGGCTAACAATTTACCCAGCTAATATCTTCTAAATACCCTTTGTGTGTTGGGCATTGCCCAGAGTGGTGAGGGGGGTGGACATTGAAACTCCTTCCTCCTGGAATGCCTGGTCTCAGGAAAGAGACCACAGAGCAAAACGGGGCAGTATGGTTTTGAATGGCTTCCAGGGTAGTCACAGAGGACCTGAGGTCAGGAAAATGGAGGCCATTAGATGAAGTATCAGCTGGGGATTCAGGCTCCAAGGACAGAGGGACTGGGGGCCTCCAACAGAATCCTTTGGGGGGATGCCTAGCTGGACACTAAACTGAAGCCAGTCTGTTGTTGGACAGTGCTCACCTTGTTTCCTCAGCACAGGTTGGAAGAGGACCAGACTCTAGCTGCTGTGGTAGGGAGGTAGCCTGACTGGCCCTGGAGCTCCATGAGAAGGTGATCAGGGGAGTGGAGAGCCATACTTCAGAGAGGCCGTGGAGATCTGTCCCAGTGTCAGAACAGAAGCCCTGAGAACACATAAGCACCCAGACCCCAGAAGACACCTGACCCAGAGCTCTGCCTCTGGGTTATGTGCACAGCACTAGTTCTCCCTAGTGCTGGCCTCCTGCAGCATGGTAACAGTAATGACTGTGGCCGGGCAGTAATGACTGTAGGTGCCAGGTGCCCCACCGTGGTCCTGGTGACATCATGCGGGACTCTTTGGCATGTGGGGTCAGCTAGACATGTTGAGAACTGGTCTGAAAAGACTAACTAGATTTGAAAAGGAATTTGGGTCCAACAGGAAAACCCAGAGCTGAAGTACTAGAGTGGTTTGCCTCTCAATGAGTCCAGGTTCCTCTTGGATGCCAGGAATGCAGCTGTCAAGGCTGTAAAAGAAGAGCAGACGGGCACTTTGAAATGCCATTCCCAGGCCATGCCACACCTACAGATGCTAAGGAGGCCTGGTTGTCTACCAGGAACATCTTTATGTTCAGGACAAAGGGAAATCTCTGAGTTACCCCAGTAGTTAGAGGTAGGAACCAGAACCCATACACCTCAGGGTGTAGCCCTGTGTTATCCCCTGCCATGGCAAATGGTGGTATTCTAGGAAAGGTTTGGCTGAACAGGATCGGCAGGGTTCACAGGCTAGAGTCTGTTGTCAGCTGGTTCCCCTAGGGTACAACCCAAGCAGCCAGGGCTAGAAGAGCTTTGAGAAGTCACACAGACATTCTCCCATCGGTTAGAGCAGTATTTCTAATCTTTGGGGGTCAAATGACCCTTAAGCAGGGGTCACCTAAGACCATTAGAAAACAGTTATTTACATTATGATTCATAGCAGTAGCAACATTGCAGTTATGAAGTAGCAACGAAAATAGTTGTATTGTTGGGGATCGCAACAAGATGAGGAATTGTATTAAAGGGATACAGCATTAGTAAGGTTAGGAACCACTGTGTTAGAGGGTCCTGTGAGGGATTTTGAGGGGAGGAGGCAGGGCAAGCTAGGTACTTACCAACAAGCAGAGTGTGATGAGCACCAGGCCAAAGGGATGAGGTAAGGGGTGGGACCCAGAACAGGGAGAGGCAAGAGTTCAGCTCAGCTTCAACTTCAATCCTGTTGCTTCAGCTGCCTGCAGAGACATAGCAGAGATAAGGGTGAGTGAGCCCCACCCGCTAGGCCACTAGGGAGGAGGGGAGGGCAAAGGCAAGGGGCCTACAGGCTGGACGTGGAGAACCTAGGATTTGTTTCCAGTTTGTTTGTTTGTTTATAGCGCTGAAAGTAGAACCTAGGGCCCTAGGCTTGCTAGATAAGCACTCTACCACTGAGCCACGTAACCTCAAATTCATGGCAGTCCTTTTGCCTCCCTGCACAACCAGGCCTGGCTATTTTCTCCTCTTTTCCTGTCTTTTCCCTCCCTCTCCCCCTTTTTTTTCTGGACTCAAGCCATCTTCCTCCCTCAGCCTTGTCCCTAGCTAGAAGCACTAGAGTAGCAAGCACCACCACACCCTGCACCCTGCCGGTATCTTGGGATTGTTGAACGTACATCGAGCTCTGTCATCTATATAAGGACTAATCCAGCCACAACTTTGCTGGAGTTCTGGGTCTCGATGGCTCACCAAGCGCTTTGGAGGTTAAGTTGAGGCAGGAGAATTGGTTTGGGTTTGAGGCCAAAACCAAATCAAAAAACAAACAAACAAAATGTCTTATAGATTTTTCAGAGCAAATCCTGCAAGCAGGATGTGAGTCTTACCTTTTTGTTGCTGTTTGTTCTTTTCAGAAGTAGGGGTTGGATTTAGGGTTTCATGTACTATAGGGAAGTGTTCCACCACTGAATGCCTCTTTTGGCTATCTTTTTACTTTTTGAGACAGGGTCTCACTAACTTACCCAGACTTGAACTCTTTCTGTAGTTCAGTCTAATGTGGAACTTGCAATTCTTTAGTGTCTCAAGTAGCTGGACTACAGGCGCACAATGCCGGTACTAGCTTTGACCTTATCTCGCAGCTGGGAAAACTGAGGCATCTGGCCGTGTTGCTAGAATTCTCTTCTAAATTCTGGAAAGTAGCAGCATCAGAATTGGAACTCATAACTGATCTTTCCTTGGGATTGAGGGTGTGTGTCCCAAACACTGACTTAAAAAGAGATTCTGGTATTTTCTGTCCTCTTGGAAGCCATCCTCACTGTTCCCATCCCCTTCGCTCAGGCAGCAGTTGGCAGCGTCACCCCTCCCTCATCTGTGAGATCACAGAGGCCTGGGGCAGCTTCTGAGAGCTGGTCCGTACCTGGTTCAGAGCTGGTTCCATCTGGTCTGCCTGGATGATGCTCTTTTGCTACCACCTTCCCAGCCTTCTTCCCAGTGGCCAGTGGCCCCTACAAGCCCAGTGTGTCAGAAACCAGGGTATGATGACACCATCCTCACCTCTTCTGGTCTCTTCTTGTGTGCACATCAGTAAACAGGAGTAGTGTCTACCCTTTTAGGGGAGATCAAACAGCCAGATCCAGAAGAGGACAAATCCTTGCGAGGATGACTGTGGACAGGTTCTCCTGTCTCTTGTTTTTTTTTTTGTTTGTTTGTTTGTTTGTCTTTTTCAATCTATGAGGGGGACAAAGATTTCCATTAGGACAGGGGCTGTGTTGTTTACTTGGGAGGCTCCAGGAGAATCTGGCCCATGAGGCTGCTGGCCACCAGAAACCCATCTGCATGGCAGCTGTAGATGAACTCAGGGCACAACCCCAGCATCTTCCACAGCTCCCTCTGGCTGTGTGGGTCTATGGTCTGTATGAAAAGCTATGAGTTCCCTGGGGGCTGTGGAGACTGCTCTTGGTTCTTCTCCCTAAGCATAGGAAATGCTTAGGAAATGCTTCAGGGTCTCAGTTCTAGAAACAGGCACCCTGGCCTGGGTGCTGCAGGAAGTCACTGGTGCCTTCTCAAGTGCTAGCTGTCACTAGCTAACAAGCTGTGTGGTGCTATGGCTTGAAACAGCAGTGGTCTGTGATGTGGGATCTGTGGGTTAGCGGATCTGCCAGTTTCTGCTGGTCCCCCCAGGAAGGCCAGATAGGTTAGAAGGCAGGAGGCAGCCCTACTCTCATGTCTGTCAGTGGGTAGTGTCTTCCAGCCCAGCCCCTTGGGTCCCTTTTTGCACCACAGGTCTTGAGGCGAAAGAGGATCTCTGCCATAAAAGGGCTTATGGAGCCATTACTGATATAAACCAGAAAACGAAAGGGCCAGGCCCTGGGGTGAGTTCCTAGAACATCAGCAGCCGGTCAGGGAGATGGGTGAAAACCATCCACCAGGCCAAAGCTGAGTCCTGCTTAGAAATGTGGGGGGAAGGCACCAGAGTCCACAGTGGCTAGGATAGGAAGGGAGGGGAGAGCTTGACTTCCTGGGGCTGGACGACAATCCATAAAGGGATCCTTTGCTTCTGGGTGAGGGATGGTGGCACTCTGATGATCCTCCTCCTCTACGCCATGTATTTTGGGGGGTGCTTTTTTATGGTCCTGGAGTCATGTGCATGCTCAGTAAATGCTCTACTACTGAGATGTACTTTGCCTCCCACCTGGGCTTTGTGCCCAGGGTTTCAACACAGGCTTAAGAGTGTGAAGCGATTTGTGGGGTTTTTGGGGGGGATGGAGGGAGGGTATTTTTGTTTTTTCTCAAAACTGTTCTCTTAGCTTCTGGCAGCTAAGTCTAAGACATCTCAGACTTTTTCCCTTGTCAACTTCCACATGGCCTCTCAGTGGCAAATGAGCCTCTTCGCATGGCAGCTCCCCTCTTCCCCGATGTGGTCTCCTAAAGGCACGCCAGTCAGTCCCTGACTTCTGAGTCTGCAACCATCAGGCAGCGTGCAGAGAGGTATGTGCCTCAAGCACCCAGGCCCAGACCATAGATCTGTTAAGACTAGAACTTCTACCACCTTCTAGAACTTGGCCCCACCTCCGGATTGCAGGAGAGGCCAGCTCCCACCATGGAAAGACCCATCACATGTGCCCAGGAGGGAGACTGTGGCCGTAGTTTGCAGTCATGGGATGCCTTTTAGTAGGTTGTTGCTGGACCCTTGTGTCACATAGGTTAGGCAAAGGCCACAAAACTAGATGTTATCCTGGTGATCCTACCCTTCAGTCGCCTGGCTCTTAGCACATTCGTTCTATATGCTGCTCCACACAACAGGATGCACCTGGCAAGGCGTGTCAGTGCCAAGTACTGCAGCCCCTGCTAGGAGGAGGGGACCCAAGGCCCCCGCAGCACCTAACTGCCACTCACCTCCAGGGCCTCTTCACTCTTCAGTTTCTTCAGCTCAACTGTTCAAGCCATTTGACAGTAGTTGATATTTGAATGAGACGAAATGAACACCTCCGTCTCTAGGTCCCATGCTGAGAGCTTGGTGACCACATGCTAAGAAGCGGAGGGTGAAGGAAGGCTTGGCACCGAATGCCAGCCCTGGCCTCCGTTCTACATGCCTTCACCACCACCCAGGCCTTATGCTGGCCGCTTAGCTTCCAAAGTAACCAGTTGTGCTCAGCACTGACTCAGGGGGCTCTGTGTCTGTTGCGGGTAGGTTGGGTACTGGGTCCCCAAACTCCTCAGGGTTCCAGAGCCCCAGCTGCAGCCTCTCACCTATCTTGGATGACTGGTCTCACCTACCACAACAAACCTTCCCTTTGATCCTTTCCTGCCCTGCAGTATAGCAAGTGGGCCTCCATCTGCCTGCCAGGCATTTCCAGGAAAGGAGTTTGGCTGCTTTTCATAAGAAACTGTGAGACTCCCCCCACCCCACCCCACCCCACCCCACCCTGCGTAGAGCTTAACCGAGGACCTGGTTTAGGGAGACTGCAGCCTTGCAGCGGCTGTGTTTGGGTTTGAAGAATGTCAGCATGTGAAAAAGCAGTGTTTGTTTGGTCTGCCACAGTGTTGGCTGTACATATGGGATGCAAGATCCCTTAAAATAAGTCAAGGCTCCCAGCTCGGGAATCCCCCAAACCATCAGGAGCTGGAATCTCTGAGAAGTGTCAGCCCTATGATAGAGTGGAAGCCCTATGGAGTCCTCAGGAGGTTAGAGCTGGGTCTGGTTGGGCACTGTGCTGTGTGCAGGGAGGGAGGTGAAGTGTCATCTCCCTCCACTCCTCACCCTGCCCTGCTACATGACGTCACACCTTATCCCTCAGCCCTTAACTGCTGGCCTAGCTACCTCTGTTTTTCCTCTTTGCTGGCCAGGAGGTTGCTCTGTGCATGTACTCTCTCTGCACAGGGCCTTTGCTTTTGATGGATATAACCGAATAGCTGAAATGAGATACTTTATAAAGAAAAGAAGGGTGTTTGTTTGAGAAAAGAGGTTTATTTAGCTCAGAATTCTAATGGTAGAAGATCCAAGCATCGTGGGACCAATGTCTGGTGAAGACCTGAGTTTGGTCACAATGTGGTAGATGCGTGGATAGGGAATTGGCTAGAGTGCAGAAAGGCCAATGACCTCACTTTACAAACAAAGCACAACCTGATTTCCGATAGCCGCAGTCCCTTCGAACATTAACCTGTTCCTGCCCCCACTATCTAATCTCAAAGGTCCCTACCTCCTGCAAAGGGAACCAAGAATCTAACTTATGCTCATTTGGGAAACAAACCCCTGGGCTCTACAACTGGGAGAATTTTACAGATTTGACTTTCTTATAGTTGTGGGACATGGGGCAGAGATGAGTCAAGACATAAGTCTCTACTGTCCAGGACACTGGGCTGGTATAGGTATGGGGCAGGTTGTAGTTGTGGGGTGCCCACATTCTCTTCCTACTACACAACCTGCCCGGACTAAGAGGCAGGATGTGCGTACCTGTATAACTGTGTGTGTGTGTGTGTGTGTGTGTGTGTGTGTGTGTGTGCGCGCGCATGTGTGCACGTGCGTGCGTGTGTGTGTGTGTGTGTGTGTGTGTGTGTGTGTGGTTTATGGCTGAGGTTCCCTGCATATAGAAGGCACTCAATAAGTATTCTGAGTAGAAGAATGAATACAAGCTGTGGGTACCCAGAAATATATCACTATGCTGACCTCTGGCTATGTCTTCTCAGGGATCTATCAGACAAGTGGAGTGATAAGCTGAGACCCCACCCCCCACCCCCAGGACTTTTTCTCACTGCCAGGTCCATGCTGCTCCCTGCAGGTTTAGCCAAGTTCTGTGCAGTATTTTTTTTTACGCTTGAATTCTTTGAGTTGTAAGAAATTTCAACTAATTATTTTCAACTAATATATTATACTTAATTTTTTTAACTATATTATTTTGAACTAATTAATTTGAAACCTTTCTCATTTCATTTATTTTTATTTTTGTGTGTGTGCACATATGCGTGTGTATATGTGCTAGCACAGCACTTATTCATGCTGTGACACACATGTAGAGGTCAAAGGACAACTTTTGGGAGTCAGTTCTCTCCTCCCACCATGTGGAGTGCAGGGACTGAAGGGTTGGCCTCAGGTTGTCAGGCTTTACGGTAAGCACTTGTATTCGGTAAATCATCTCATCAGCTCTTACCCTGTTGTTTTTAGTTTTAGTTTTCCAGCCCTGGGGACAGAACCCACAGCTTCAGGTATGGTAGGCAAGTTCTGTATACCACTGAGCTCAACCCCCAGCCCAGAGTTTCAAGAATAATTTGACAAAAGCAGGCTTCTCCCATGTCCCTTTCACCCCAGTCACCATTAGTAAAATGCCACCATATTTTGTTCTGGCACATTTAGATTTTTTTTCCCTCTTGGCTCTGTTTGTGAGGTCACAGCAAATGTGCAGCGAGACATTTGTCTGTAATAATACTCCATCCAGGCTAGTTCCTAAGAACAAGACAGCAGTTCAGCATCACCATGATCCAAATGAAGTTCATACAAGCTGTGTTTTTATTTTGACAGTTGTCCCAATCAGGTTCTTTTCCTTCCCTCTTTCTTCTACTCCCACCCTCCCTTCCTCCCTCCCTTCCTCCCTCCTTTCTTCCACCTCTCTTAGTCTCCTTCCTTTACATTTCTGAGGCAGGGTTGCCTGCAGCCCAGGTTGGCCTTGGACTCTCTAGGCACCCGAGGATGACCTTGAGCTCCTGGCCCTCCTGCTTCGACCTCCTAAGTGCTGGTCACAGCTGTTGCCAACCACTCCTGGATCCATCTAATTCTTTCATTGCATTGAGTCTTTTGTGTGTTTTCTGATGTCTTTATAGAAGGATAATGTGCATGCTATAAAATCCAGCCTTTGTAATGTGTACCTCCACAGTATTAGCATATTGGCCACGTATAAGCAGCACCACAGCATTATTTGA